TGTCCAGAGAAGGGCAACGAGGCTGGTGAGGGGTCTGGACAAGTCTTATGAGGAGCGGCTGAGGGAACTGGGGTTGTTTAGCCTGGAGAAAAGGAGGCTGAGGGGAGACCTCATTGCTCTCTACAACTACCTGAAAGGAGGTTGTAGCGAGGTGGGTGTCGGTCTCTTCTCCCAAGTAACAAGCGATAGGACGAAAGGAGATGGCCTCAAGTTGTTCCAGGGGAGGTTTAGGTTGGATATTAGGAAAAATTTCTTCACCGAAAGGGTTGTCAAGCATTGGAAGAGGCTGCCCAGGGAAGCGGTTGAGTCACCCCCCCGAAGGTATTTAAAAGATGTGTCCCCGAAGGTATTTAAAAGATGTGTAGACGTGGTGCTCAGGGACATGGTTTAGTGGTGGGCTTGGCAGTGCTAGGTTAACGGTTGGACTCGATGATCTTAAAGGTCTTTTCCAACCTAAACGATTCTATGATTCTATGAATTGCAGAGTACAATCCCTGAAGACCCAGTACCCCAGGGGAAGAGGTCAGACAGTAGAATCTAGCAATTTGTTTTCTGATGATTTCTAAAGATCAATGAGTAAGCTTCCAGAGAGCTAATTATTGTCTTTTGCTTTGATACAGCTGCTATTGAAGAAGATGTTGTGAGATACAAATACGTGAAGAAGAAGGGCTACGTGCGACTTCACACTAATAAAGGAGACCTAAACTTGGAGCTGCACTGTGATATGGTATTGTGTGCCCCATAAGATGAATCTCTCTAGATAACAAACAGAATAGGAGCTGGCAATGGAAATGTCCAAAGAAAGGAATAGTGTGTAGTTGTAATAGATACAGATAAATAACTAGCCTTCAGTTGTTTTGGTGTTTTTTCATACATACACAAAACTCCGTTGTAAAATGTATATATATTATTTTATATATTATACTACTATACGTATAAATGTTCTCTGTGAGTAGCCCCATACATTTTAGGGGACTACTTAGAACGTGTCGAGGTATATGTTTAGAACTTCAAAGGGTCAGGATTATAGTGACCCAAACAATGACAAGGAAAGTAGAGAGAAAAAAGAAGGAAGAGCACAGAGAAGAGAATAACCCAAGGTTACACAGCAGGTTACTGGCAGAACGAGGAAAAGAACCTCAGTGAAACTGAGAGCAGTCTGTCAACCTGAGTACAAGTAGTTAAGATCCTCAGAAATGGTTAGATTTGCTTCTAAGTCCTGAGCTTATCAGAACAAACCTAAATGAAAACCTTAGAATATGTTTTTTACTTCCTGCTGTCTCAGTTTTTAAGGTTCAAGTTTTCAAACATCTTCCCTTTGCCATTAGGAGGTAGACGTTAATTTTAAAAAACAACGGACTAGAGTTTTTTATAGTCAGTACAGTCTGATTCTGGGGGAAATCTGTGGCTCTTAAAGTAATAAACATGGCAAGACTTGTGATAGACAGATGAGTTGTGGTGACACTGATGTCTCAGATGTCACTGCTTGCTAGTGTGCTGGCTTATTTATTTGTACAACCACATCTATAAAAGGAAAAAAGTTTTCAATGTAAAAAGCCCAAACCTTCTGTTGTTTACTGAGATTTTTATCTCAGGAGTTTATAGGCCTGAAGGTAGATGTTTTAGGAAGCTGAAGGATGTGAATAGGGGTTTAAATGGTAAAACTTCTGCTTGTTGTGACCCTCATAGAATTTAAGGACAGTGGTGCTGGCTAGGAGCTGGGGTGCCTGGTGTGAAATCCAGAGATGCACTGGAAGAATGCATCCTTTTTTTGCTTGGGAGAAAGAAAAAGGAGCAAACAGAACAAGCCTGCTAGCTTTCCCTTCTCTTCCTTTCTTTCGCACAAGTAAGGAGCAAGATGCGTGTAAACATCTCGAGCTGATCTATGGAAACAGTATGAGAACCTCCACAGCAGCATATCATGCTAGTAATTCTGTAGGTCCCTGTCATCCCTACATGTGTTTTCCATGCTCTTAAATAGTAACACTATGTAATAAGGCAAAAAGCAGAGGATGTTAGTACAGCAATATTTGGGGGAAGCAGCAGGATGAGCAGATTGCATTGAATCATTTGTTTTGCCATATGTTCTCAAACTGGCTCCTGGCTAATGCAGGCTGACTGCAGCTATTCTTACCAGTGTGGGTTTTTTGGCCACATGTGTGACCAGTGTCACTCAGTCCTGAGGACCCAGTCTCTATTGCCCATTATGAACTTCCTGTATGATATCCATTGTGTTTCCTTTTTTTCCAGATGAATCCCTATTTATCTTCCTTTCACACACACTGCTTCCTCATGTACACATTGGAAGTGTGCTCTGTTTTACACAACCAGACCTGCTAGAACACTGGCCTCTAGCCATGTGTTTTTTTCATTTCTTTGTGTCGATTACATCTGTGTGAATTAAGCAAACCTTTGGCACTGCACAGGGGAGAAATATATATTTAGAATAAGTAGGAAAAACTTGCTGCTTTAAGGAGGTTTTTACAACATCCACTTTAGGTCATCAGCCTAGGTCTCTTAAATCAGTTCTTCCGGGAGGCGCCTGTTTTTCTCCCTTTACTATATAAGGAGTTTGTGCTTCTAACTTTGGTTTTCCTGAATCACACTGAGGTTAGGCACATAAGATAGCTCAGTGCAGATAGCGCAAACATCTTACAAACATACAACACATATATAGGTCACAAACATATACACAGATCAGCTACAGTGGATCTGTTGAGATTGCAAAGACAGACATAGAAAATGGGGAAATGCCAAAATCAAGCCTTTCTAAACACATCCAGTTCACCCTGCTTGTGAATATGCATTGTAATAGTCTTAATTAATCATATGCTGAGTTTTTTATCAGCTCTCCTGGCTTATTCAGTGCACAAGCTGAACCAGTTCTGGGAGCTCTTTGGAACTGCGTAGTGAAATGGTTTATATGCAGGATTTGGTTTTCCTGCAGAAGTGTAGAATGTGGATAAGGTCCTTGAATGCAGTCAGGGGGAACTGGAGTGTATCATAATGCTCGCCCAAATTAATGTTGCACAGGCTTTTTGGTGCCTGACTTTTCAGCCTTCATGATTTTTTAACGTAGTTGTCATGGGTAGTACCCCAGCTTTTCAGAAGAAATGGAGAAACAAATTTCAGCCCAAAGCACTATATTGATACACACTGAGATCACCAGCAGATTTGGGACCCCTGGATTCAACACACAGATCTGTGCTACTTGAGTGAATGAGAGAGACAGTAGCAGTATTAGGTTGTCATTGCTGTGTCAAAGCAATGACACATTTTCAGCCGAAATAGTGTGATTTGGGGAATTCATACATCTACTCTGTCAAGCAGTGCAACTGCAGGAGCAAGTATGTGATTTATAAGTCATATTACAGTGGTGCTTAGCTTCTCTTTTTAAAGACTGAACACTGCCTGACTGGTTGTTGACTTGACCTGACCACAGGCTCCTTCTTTTAATTGCTGAGCAATATCCTGTGCTCTGGTTATTATGGAAGCCACCCTAGCAGTGGTTGTATTTGCACGGTACTGCAAATAAATGATTGTGAAATGCTTTAGGAAGCTTGAGGATGAAGTTGTGATATAAATATGACAAATGAATACCTGTGTCCGGAGGTAGGACTTGCAACATTCAAATTACATTTTAAAATAGTCTTACAGGTTAGATTTCAATATACACTTTGAGGTGAAGTCTTCTTGCTGAAATAGAGAACAGCAAGCGACATACTTGCTGTCATAGAGTGTATGTCTACTGAATCTTCAAATGTCTTTTCATGCCTATGGGCTGCCTGCTTAAGCAAAATATTCTTGCAGTTGTGCTCTCAGCAGTCTGCACTGCTTCTGAAGTCTACCCAATATCATCTTTGCCTTCAGTACCCCCTTGGGTTCTTACTCCCTCTCCCTTTACAGCTCTTCTGTCTCCTGTTCTTTCTTTCCCCTGTTTTTTGTGAGCTATCTGGCAGTATGGTTTGTTTGGAGTTCAGTCTATATGTAAGTGTGGAAACTTTTGTTTAAAAGTAAAACTAGTGATCTTCATACACTAGCACATTAAGGTGCCAATCAAGAATATTGATAGTGATGAGATTCTTCCTAGCACCAAAAACCTAATCAAGAAATGTTTTGTATTGATCCAGGGGAGGAAATCAGTGCTGCAGTGTGATTGAAGTCATCAGTTACTTTGTGACAGAATTCAGAAAGAAAGCATGAAATAGGGCTAGAATCCAGATATTTTCTGTGTTTGAAATCACTTGTTCAGAGCACCAGAAAACTTAGGTTCCAGAAAGATGATGTGTGGTGTAAGTCATTGACCTGAGAAAAGGCAATAAAGACTTTGGAAGATAAGCTGGATTTTCTTCCACCCTTCTGAATTTGTGCCTCAAATGAGCAAAGGTACACTACTGTTGTCTCTTTGCATCATAGTGGGGTGTGTAGTGCTCTTTGTTGCCATTTGTTTTTCTCCCAGTCGTCTTATTCAGATACAGTATGTTCCTACTGATGGGGACTAATCATATGGCCATTTGTTAGGGACATTTTCCAGGAAGCCGAGTTCAGCTGGGCATAAGCAACATTTGTTGTATACACTAATTGGAAACAAATTTACAAAAATTCTACTTGCCGGAAGTAACTCTGGTGAGTACAGAAGATTTAATAGCATCCAGCAAGTGTTATTCTTTCAGCTCTAGTCTTATGCATTGCCAAACAAATAAATTATGAAAAAATAACTGATGAAAGGCAATTAATGTCCCTGGATTTCTTGTATTTTATTTACTGTGATTTTTCTAATCTCCTCAAGTTCTTTTAGCTGCTTTAATCAGGATGCTGCTGGGAACAACTGTCTATCTCATCTGTGTGTATTCTGCTGTGTTAGTGACTATAGTGATGCAGTTACACCTTGCAGGTGGTGGAGCAGCCTCTTAAGGCAGGGTGGAGGCTTTACCCTGTGCAAAAAGTCAAATTGAGTTGGGTTTGGAAACAGAAAAGCAGTGTGGTATAATGGATAGAGTGGAGAACTAGGAGCTGGTAAACCCTGAATTCTGTGCCTTTGCCATGGAGTTGCTGCATGATGTGGCTATGTCATTTAGTTATGGATTTTTTTTAAATCAGTGGCATCCCATTTTTTATTTCACAATGAGCAATAAATACGGGCATAATTTTGAATTCCCAGGCAACAACATGTATCATAGATGCCTGATTGCTGGAGTTAGGCTACACAAATAACCTAGGCTGCCTGTTGGAATCAGCAGCCCTGCATAAGACTAGATAGAGTAGCAGACTCCTAGTCTCTGCACCTGTGAAAGGGAGTAAAAATTCCTGCTTTTGCCTCTAGGTTGCTTTGAGGCTTTCTTGTTTAGTGCTTGTACTTTTTTATTTTCATTGTGCTATGGAAATATATATATATAAAAATTTAACACTCCAGAAGACCCTGTCAAAATGATGAACAGGAGGTTTGGTGTATTATCTCCCTTCTCTCCTTTGTGAGTTCTCATACAAGTGGTCACTGTGCGGTAATGATCTGGTGGTTAAACACATGCCAGTAGTGGTAATTGAATATTAATCTGTAACTGCCAATGCAGTTTTTGTAAATTCGCCTGTCTCTGTCAGGTTTAATACTTTAAGGTTTAAGGGCAAGTTGGCATAACAAAGAAGAATGTGAGATGGATTTCAAAGCTCCATCCAGCACTCCACAAATGGTTTTTGAGGTTTTAGGACCTGGCAAACTCTGCTTAATGG